ATGGTGAGAACTCTCTAGATCATAGCACTTATCACTGCAGCATTTGGACGTGCACAAGGCAGCAGCTTTCTTTACATTTACAATATTGTTCGTGTCTGCAACTAGGTGCTCTGGGCCTGCTAGCTCTTGCCAGGAAGCATGGTGGGCAGGTACAGAGGAGACAACCTCTAGTTTATCTAGGGCCTGGCTGGGTCAAAGCATTACTGGTGTCCGCTGAAATACTGTTAAATGACTTGAGGGGGGCAGTCATTTAGGTTTGTCTATTTCAGTCTTGAAAGTGGCATGTGGCTTGTTGTTGTGTCCTAGCGAGGCAAAGCTTTGAGTGAAAGACAGGATCTTTCAAGTCGAACTGATCTTTGTCCGACCATCTGCCGGTAGGTGATACTACAGGCTTCTCTAGTGACCTCGGCCAGTTGCCACTGACTTCTCGCAGGGGAACGGCAATCCATGATCTGTGGGAAAGCCCTCCTACTAGTTAGTGCCTGTGGCTGACCAAGATGCCCATTTCTCTAAGGCCTCCGGCTGGAAAGGTGCTCTGATAGCACCGTGTGTGGAGTTGGCACTGAACGCCATCACACCCTTTCACTCCCGACCCCACATGTAGGGGAGGGAGCCCTTGGGTCTTGGTGAGTTGGTTTGCTTTATGCGTTGAGGACCAATAAAACACACCCTTCCTGCAAAGCATCGTGAGCCTGAGCCTGGGCCACCCAGGTGATTGTGCAGTTTGTATCCTTGGTTTATAATTGTTTCTCTCTACCTTTATTGGTATTCAGAGCTCACAGTTTTCCAGTTACTGTCAGCCTGGGCTTTCACCCATTTCAAAGAGTTCTTTTTCCTCTTGTTGTTGATGGTGATGGTATAAAGGCAGATGGTGTAACTGCTAATGTCCTATTTTATTTCCCCAGAACCAGACAGTTCACTTGAAGACACATATTATTTCCACATGCTCAGGTTAGGCAGCCCAGACACTTGTGTCTGCCTTCTGCAGCTGCCCTTTCCAGGCCTTGCCACGCAGAGGGCGACACCTGTAGGTCATCGGTGGAACTGCGGGAAAGTGCCGGCTTGGCAGTACTGTATAGCTCTTGGTTTTAAGCTGGGGTTGAGTACATAATTCTGCTTATAAAGGAAGTTGGCATGTCAATTATTTTTCTTCCACCAGAACGATTAAGTTTAAGAATGGAAAGAGAGCTTAATTGGTGAAGTCTTAAAGAAAAAAATTCAGTGCCATCAGGTTAATTCTGACTCAATAGCAAACCTTTAGGACAGAGTAGTACTGCCCCTTTAGGTTTCTAAGGCAGACAATCCTGTAGCTTGGCTGGTCGGTTCGAACTGCTGACATTGCAGTTAGCAATCCAGTGTGTAACCCCCTATACCATCAGGGCCCCTTAAATCTGGGGGGTGGGGGGGCACGGCGGCAAGGGAGAGACACAGTAGTAGGGGCTTTTTTTGCTAGCCTCTTCCACCTGGCCTCTCTGCAACTTTTGTCCGGATTTGTTGAGTGACAGGGGAGGAAAAAAGCAAAGGCCCAGGAGGGCTTAGTGAGAGCGAGGGCTCCAGGTGCCTGCACGGTCACACAGCGCAGGCCCTTTTGCTGCGTTGAGGTTTTGCTCTAGTTTTTGTGCACGTTACTGTCTCCTCTCTGTGGAGGCCTCTATATCACTGTCTCCACCCAAGGTGTGTGTGTGTGTGTGTGTGTGTGTGTGTGTGTGTCACTGAGCAATCTCCTCGATTCATTTTGATTAATGTAGTAATACTACATGTATTTGCATATAGCATGAGTTGGGGCAAATGAGTATATTTTAAGAGATCTAGCTAACTTGGATAGGCCCAATTTAATAATGTGGACTGTGACTGAGTCTTGGGATCTCCATTCAGAGGGGATTTTATCATTACAATTTTGAACAATTTCATCCAAAGCCAAGAAATGTGCAGCGAACATTTTGCGCAAACATAATTAAGGTGGTCCTCATACCTTGTTTTGTTTTAAATCATTGTATTAGGGACTCTCACAGCTCTTATAGCAACCCATACATATGTTGCCATTATTAGTTTCTAAACATTTACTTTCTATTTGAGCGCTTGGTATCAGCTCCTCCTCTTTTTTCCTACCCCCCCAACCTGGTGACCCCTTGATATATTTATTATAAATTATTATTATTTTTATATCTCACACTAACCACTGTCTCCGTTCACCCACATCTGTTGTTCATCCCCCTGGGGAAGGGGATGTAGAACTTGTTTTTTTTACCAAGTGTTAACTTGGGACTGCACACTTGATAGACTCCAAGTCAGAGATGCCTGGTTTTTCTTTGTTTGGACTTAGGGCGGGGGGAGACTTGATGTTAATTGTACAATGTAATAGGACCAAAAAACGAGGCATGGAAACTGCATGTGGCACCGTCTTGGTTGGAGATGAAGATAAGCAGAACTTTGTTTTTCCCATGTCTTCCCCATACTGTGTCCTAGACTTCTTACTGTTGGCAATGAAGAAAGAATGTTCTCTTTCTGGTTCAACCTGTTCAGTGAGAACTAGGAAAACCCGACTGAGTGTAGAAATTTCTTCCTTTAGAAGCTCTTATGATGAGTCAATTTGCTTTACTTCCCATTCTCTTTGTTTGTGAGATAAAATTTAAAGGCTATTTCTAGAGGATTGAAAGGTATATGACATCTTAAAATCACTAAAATTGCTTAAAGTGAGGGGGGGAAATAGGTTTGACAGGTAATAGAAGTGGATTTGGGGGCTTACCTTAATTCTAGCCCCCAAAGAACAATTGAGTTCTTATGACATGGCCCTACTTCATATTCACCCCCATGAAGATATCACTGAAGATGTGGGTGCTATAGCAGAGTATGGTAAAGAAACCAGATGGTGCCCAGCTCTCAGAAAGAGTAGCATCTGGAGTGTTAAAAGTTTGTCTTCAAGCAAGCAGCCATCTACATAAAGAAAGGCAGAGCAGCCTGTAAACAAAAGATTATAAATAATTAAATCTAAACTTGGAGGGAATGGTATCAGAGCTTATATTGTGATCACCAAGTTGGCAGAGGCACTATGGGTGACAGTAGAAGCCCCAAAGCCATTTGCAGGATCCCTACATGGATTAAGCCTCTGGTGAATCCCGGGGATGCCAACAGCCTGGCTACAATGGCAGATGTAGTTAGGTTAAAATATAATACCTTATCATTTGATTTCTCCTTTGACTTATTTTAGAGTTTAAGTTTTTAATATTTTCTGCATTCTTTTCTATGAACATTTTTCTCTATTTTGTCTCATCATTATTAGCCATTTTTTTTCTTGTTTGTATGATCTTCTGGTATATGAAATCCAGGATAGGTAAATCTATAGAAACAGTAACTGGATTACCTAGGGGCATGGCAGGGAAGGATGGGGAGCTAACGAGTATGAGAAGAAAATGTTCTGAAATTGATTGTTTTGATGATTGCACTTGGGAAGACTGGAGGTTTTTTAAAAAATCATTTTATTGGGGGCTCATACAACTCTTATCACAATCCATACATACGTCAATTGTATAAAGCACATTTGGACATTCGTTACCTTCATCATTCTCAAAACATTTACTCTCCATGTAAGCCCCTGGCATCAGCTCATTTCTCCCCCTCCCTCATGAACCCTGGATAATTTATAAATTATCTTGTCATATCTTACACTGTCCGACGTATCCCGTCATCCACTTTTCTGTTGTCCATCTCCCAGGGAGGAGGTTATATGTAGATCCCTGTAATCGGTTCCCCCTCTCTACCCCACCTTTCCTCTAACCCTCCCGGAAACGCCACTCTCGCCGCTGGTACTGAAGGAATCATCTGTCCTGGATTCCCTGTGTTTCCAGTTCCTATCTGTACCAGTGTACATCCGGGGGAGGGCGGGGGGAGCATTTAAGAACTAGTGGAAAGTTGTATGTTTCATCATTGCTACACTGCATCCTAACGGGCTCGTCTCCTCCCCGCTACCCTTCTGTTAAGGGGATGTCCAGTTGCCTACAGATGGGTCTTGGGTCCCCACTCCGCACTCCCCCTCATTCACAATGATAAGGTTTTTTGTTCTTTGATGCTTGATAACTGATCCCTTCAGCACCCTGTGATGACACAGGCTGGTGTGCTTCTTCCATGTGGGCTTTGTTGCTTCTGAGCTAGATGGCTGCTTGTTTACCTTCAAGTTTAAGACTCTAGACATTATATCTTTTGATAGCCAGGTACCATCAGCTTTCTTCACCACATTTGCTTATGCACCTGCTTTGTCTTCAGTGATCCTGTAGGGAAGGTGAGCATAATGGGATTCCAGTTTAATAGAACAAAGTATTCTTGCATTGAGGGAGTACTTGAGTGGAGGCCCAATGGAGAAGGCTGGAGTCTTAAAAGCTTTCTAAGTCTCTTTAAAGTCTCCTAATACTTTCAGTGTTAACCCACCTGGGTTTGCAGGCCTCATTCATTCACTTTTCTTACTGAGCGCATACTTTGAATAATGATTCAAAGGGCCAAGAGAGATGTAATTGTATTTATTTGCTTTATTTTACTCAACATCTAAAAGGGCCTCATTCCACACTGAGGCCAATGAGGGTCAGCAAATAGGTCTGGTCAGCTTCAATGCTGTGATTGGACCTAAGCAAAGAAGCAGAATGTGTGGTTACTTTTTGTTTTGTTTTGTTTTGTTTTCATATAAGAGATTTCAGGAGTTGAGATGGTGGTATAATGTTTCAACAGGATTGACCTTTAATTCAGAAAGCTCAATATAAGACATTCAGAATCTGCCCAGAAGTACCCAATGGTCACAGGTCTAGAGCAGGCACAGCCTCATCTTGCTAGTGGGGAGAAGAGTTCCTCCTGGCTCGGTAAATGCTAAGTAGCTTTTGAGAGAAGTAACAAGAACAGTTGCATCTGAGTTTTGTGGTTGACAACTCTGGAGTAGGACCAGGAGTCTCAAATCTTACCTCAAATGTTCATCTTTGACATTTTTTATTTTTCTTTGTATTTCAGAAGAAGTCATTGAAGATGTTGAAGGACCACAGGAAACAGCTGCTGATCCAGAGGAGCTCACTAAAGACCAGGAGAGTGGAGGCGAGAAAGACCAGAGCAAGTGGACAGGTATTGTGCATTTTTTGTTTTGTGGGTGAGGTCCCCTTACTATATCCTTCTTCCAGGTTGTGCTGTTTTATTGGGTAGCCACCCACACGAGGAGGGTATGTGCTGTTTCTTGCGCAGGGTTTGGCACATGAAACTTGCTTAGGGATTCCCCCCCCCTCCCATCACAGCCTCAGGGTTCACTAAAGGAGTCAACAATGAAGGGTGGTCTTTTGGGGCCTGGACAGGGGTTCTTACAGGTGCCACTAGTCCTGCAGACTCCATAGACTCCGCACAGAGGAAGGCAATGCAGCCAAGCCAAGGGATTCTTAGTAAAAGCCAAGAAATTTTATCAAGATGCGATAGGATTTTTTTTTTAGGGAAAGGGGAGCTGAAACCAGGAAGAAAATCTTAGGGTTTTGGTTCTGAGGAGGAGCAAAGTAGTTTCTAAGAAGACTTGCTAGTACAGAGCTGTCTCCCAGAAACCATAGCATTGGTAAGAGGAAATGATATGTCAAATGACAAAAATGATTTCATGGAATTAGCCTAATTTTTATTGCCTTTATTATTACATGGATTTTTTCTTCTTTTAAATATTTACCTTCTGGAGTCCGTATTCAGTCAGGCCTTTGTTACATATTTCCAGTCCCGGCTGTTCTTAAATCATGTCCAGTGTTGGCCTTCACTATTCAAACAAGACACAGAGTTTTGGAGAGAGGCCAGAGGAGAGCAATGGAAATGACAGAAGGCTGAGAAACCAGGGCTTCTCGGGAGACAGGGACAAGGACAGTGCTGAGTTGGTTTTCCCCAGGGCTGCTGCTGGCCCTGTTCAGAATGGGCTCAGTGGTGCCCAAGGCATACTGTGAGGTGGTGTGTTGATTCCCTGGGAGGTCAGAGATGGCTCCTTCGTTGCCGTACAGGTTCCCAGGTTTTGTAGTCATATAAAGTGAGAGTAAAACAAATGGAGCTGACAGAACTAAAGCACATTGCCAGGAAAAGGCGATTTCAAACGCCCAGCTGGAAGACTTGATGACCTTTTGGGCCATCTGTCCTCTGTTTTCATGATCTGGTTTCAAATCCTGACCTTAATCTTTCTGTATCCTGTGATGGGGAATTCCAATTAGCACCTGCTTCTACAGGACTTTTGTGAGAAGGGTATATACATCATGGGCCACTGGGGGCAATGCTCGGCACAGCATAAGCCCAGTAGGAGGAGGCTGCCTACTAGTTGTTTCTCCTTGGGTCATCATCCACTTAGGATGTAGACTTGTCACTGGGCAGCATGTGGCTTTTAGGGGACTAACAGTGAAGGACTTGGTGGATGGAACATTGTGCGTCTGTTTCTTGCATTCTGTGTGGAAAGGATCATTTCCAGTCCTTGCACTGAGTGCTGTTACACTTGAGGCCCAGCCAAGGCTCCGTGCTCTCATTCAGATCACACTGAATCTATGTCCAGAAGAGAACTTGAGAGAGAGGAGGAGCATATGAGGGATTCAATGGGAAAGAGGGAAATCCTTTTCAGCCAGAAGCATTACAGTGTGTGATGACAGGCTTTCCTCTTCTGAGCTTTCTTTTAGACCCTTACTTTATAGAAACATCTGCATCTATCCCACTTGCTCCCTAAATTGAGCTGTTCCTATTGGATTGTGATTGGGGGGGCTGCTTCCTCAATTTGTACCATGGATTAGTGGCTGCTCAGGATGCGGATGAATATTTCAAATGGGCCGGCACCATTGTCATTTTCTCAGCTATTGATTGCGTAGTATAGTTTTGGGTTTGGGCAAGAATGAATAGTCACCAATCATTGGCTCAGTCCCTACCATGTGCAGAGCAGAGGACAGACTTCCACCAACCACAAGCTCCTTGAGATTTTAGACCTTGTCTTCCAGGAACTTAGCGTCATTCTATTGGGGAATCTTAGAGATGCCCATTATATTTAATTCCGTTTTTCCATGAACTTGTTGAAGCCCCATCATACAATATTACTAAAGGTAAGGGCTCCCTAGTGGAACTTTCTGTGTTGACAGAGATTCCCTGTCCAATACAGAAGCCACTAACCCTTCATAAGTATTAAATTCTTGAAGTACAAGTAGTATCACATAAGAGCCAGGTCTTGGAGAGCTCCAGCAACTTTCCCAAAGCCATGTACAGGTAGGTGTGGATTTTGCATACTGACTTAATCTAATTGATAGAGGGCAGATCCCAAGCTCCTAGCTGTAAGCTGTACTACAGTGGTCCTCAACCTTCCTAATGCTGCCACCCTTTCATATAGTTCCTCATGTTGACCCCCCCCAAAGGGGTCGCGACCCACAGGTTGAGAACCGCTGCTCTACTACTTCTCTACGCATAGAAATCTTCAACCTAAGCATTTCAGTTTAGCACTCATCTCTGTTACATGAGTGATTGCACTCTTGACATTGTGCAATGTTAGTCATTTCAAGTCCAGAATGAGGGGTTGTCAGCCATGATTACGCATTTTTTATTAAGACAGACTTGCATTTAACCTGAAGTCAGTTTGGTGAAGTGGAGAAGACTCTAGATGTAGAGTCAGAGCCCACCTGCTAGCAAAAATGGCCTTGATGAAAGACTTGGCCTCTTGGAGCGTCAGGTGTGCATTGTGGAGGAGTGACACATTCCTTGGTGGCACATGGACCCAACTCTAGGTTAATATTGAGAGAGGTCACCTCTACTCAAGGCAAATGTGAAACACTGTTGTGGGCCAATGGAAGTTCCAGGAATGTTCTTTGAAGCAAAGCTTTTCCTCTGTACACAGCCCTTTCACCATCCAACTTTGTGATTTTCTCTTTGGAAACGCGAAATGTCTCTTGTTCTCATTTAATGGAGAACATCTGAGTATGTGCCTCCTAGATTGAGGAGCCCCAATATCAGTCACTGAGCAGTGATGGTTGCAGTAATTACTCAATCAATCATTAATTGCTATAAATTCAGTACTACACAATGAATGTGATGCTTTATCACTACTAAACAGGGGGAGGTGGGGGGGTCCTTGGAAAAGAATCATACATAGCTAGGTGGTAATTTAAATCCTGTAGCTTCCATGGAGTCTAGCCACAGCACCAGGCTGGGTCTAGTTAATCTAATTGGGATTTACTGGTGCTTTGAAAAACAAAACCAAAGGTGGAGAAAAAACTCAACTTAAAATGACACTCTATGATAATGCTCTTAAACAATGAACATCTGTAGGGAATTTGAGTGTTTTTTCTATAGGAATGGCCTGGGGTATTTTATTAATTTTTTTTTTAAGTCCATGACACTCACCTAACACAGCAATTAGTTCAGTGGAGCGTCTCTGATTGGAATCTATGGAAGAGTTCTATTAAAGGGGGTATTAATGGGCTGCCAAGGTCTGGGTGACTGTGAGGGAAAAGTGTGTTTATGGGACTTGGTGCTGGTAGGCATGATTTCAGTTGGATGTGACCTGTTTACCATAAGTGTCTAGTGCATAGCACTTGCACATGAATCATTCCTACAGACCCACTGCCTTTCAAATCAGTGAGGTTGAAAAAACACAGGTCAGGCACATCCTGATGGAAATCTATTACCAGGCCCTCTCCCCACATCTCCGTTGTTTACAGCTTCATATAAAGAGGGGTGCCATTGTATGAGAAACCTGCCCCAAATCGACTGAGACAGAGAATTGCTAATTTTGAGTCCAAAAGCAGAGAATGTGTTAGGAAAAGCAGTGGCCCTTCCAAAGCCGTAGACATAAGGGCTGGCTCTGCCACTGAGGTGCTTTTTCTTGTTTCTCTCTGTTTAACAACCAAAGGTTCATGTTATTCAGTCTAGTTCCAAACCCTCATCACCTACGGGAGTGCTCAGTACATTTTTCACTGTGTCACACTCATTGGGTAAAATCAGCATGGCCATGAGCAGTTTACATATAGTCCAAGCTATTCTTTCATCTTTGCAGATTGGTACAGTAAAAAAGGACTTTGGGGGGAGGGAGGGGGAAAAGAGAGGAGCTGATACCAAGGGCACAATAGAAAGTAAATGTCTAGAAAAGAATGATAGGCAACATATGTACAAATATGCCTGATACAATTGATGAAGAGCCCCCAGTAAAATGATCTTAATGAGGACTTGCCTCCTCACTTTGTTGTTATCACGTAGCTCCACATGGTAGTTCTTAATATTATTTCTAAATCAGAAACCACAACAGCAAATGCTTGAGCTCTCCCTTGCGGGAGACATTATGATAAGGCCTTATATGCGTGGTCTCTCCTCAGCCTCCCCCAAGCCCTGCGAGAGGTTGCTAATTCATTGATACAAGAGCAGACAGGTATGGCTAGCATGGCACTGTGTTTTCTTACTTAGCAAAGGGTAAAGAAAACGTGGCCCTAGGAATACAGCTTGTGGAAACATCAGTTCCTAAGGAGCCCTGAAGGGAAGCCCACAGCTACCTTCCTGTTTGTCTCATGCCTTTGAATACCTGTAGTGAAGTTGAGCCTAGAGGCTAGGAGATTCCCCTAGCACAATACCAAGAGGAGGTATTTCTCTGTGCTTCCAACCTCCAGGGGAGAGTGGATTCACAAGGTTGCTGAGAAGTGAGTGATATGCCTCTCACCATGCTAGACACAGACCCATATTTTGTGTTTACTATCCAAACTTTACTTACTCAATGGAGAAGATACTGGAAGAATATTGTTGTATTCAAATCTCTTTAGGGTCTGTTTTGGGGCTCAAGAGACCCTAGCTAATTATATAGCTTAAGCTCACTGCCATCTGGTTGATTCTGACTCATAGCAACCCTATAGGACAGGGTAGAACTGACCCCCGTTTGGTTTCCAAGGTTATAAATCTTTACAAGAAGAGAAAGTCTCATTTTTCACCCTCAGAGCTGCTGGTAATTTCAAACTGCTGGCTTTACAGTTAGCAGAGCAATGCTTAACCCACTATACCACCACAGCTCATTTAACCTAATTACTTTTGACAGGAATTAGATAGGCTTCTTTGTAACTTTGGTATGATCTCCGAACGACCCATGTTAACTCCTTTGTCTGACCTCCATTGTGCACCTGTGGGCTTGCTTCCTCTCTTCTGGCTCCTTCTCACTCTACTTTTCTCTAAGTTGAACCCAACACAGTCATGGAGTGAAGCAAAGTGAAACAGGATACCTTACAGGGAGTAGGCTGACTCGGGTTCCTGACATGAGGTGGGCTCATGGTGACAGCCGTTGACTAGATGTTATGAACTAACTAGAGCTTCTGAATGCAGAGTCCCTACAACTGGAAGTAAAAGACCTGAACTGAAGAGTTCAAAGGTGGCTCAAAGACACAAAGTAAAAAAATTATGAAATGTGCAAAGATTTGGAAGTAGAAAACCAAAAATGGGGGTGGGGTGGACAGCATTTCTCAAGCTGAAAGAACCAAAGAAAAAACGTAAGCCATCAGTTGCAGTATCGAAGGGTTCTGTGGGAAAACCATGGAATGAAGCAGAAAGCATAAAAAGATGGACAACCACACAGTCACTGTATCAAAAATAAACAGTTGACATTCGGCTATTTCAGGAGGTAGCACAGGATCAAAAAATGATTGAAGGGATCTCATCTAAGCTGCATTGAAAGCATTGGCAATAAACAGAGCTCCAGGAAATGATGAAGTGCCGATTGAGATGTTTCAACAAAAGGCTGCAACACTGGAAACGATCACTTGTCCTTGCCAAGAG